TTTTTAAAAACGTTCTTTTCGTTTTTTTTTTTTTTTTTTTTTTTTTCATTCTTATTATCGCTCTCTAAATCATTTTTTTATTCTAGTTGTCCTTATTAAAATAAATTTCCTTAAAATATTTAAATATCTTTCTTATAATATATTAAAATATCATTTTGTGACATGTGGTCTTTATAATACTTTCTTTTAATTGCCTACTAAAATTTTTTATATGTGCCCCTACTAAAATATTTTTTTCTTTTCTAAAGTATAAAATATGGATATTAATCATCTCTTTTGTATTAAAAGTTATTCCTCTTTTTATATCCTTATGTCTTGTGTAAAACTTTCAACTCATATCTTTACTTATTCCATTTCGATCTTCATAAAAGAGGATACTAATAGTAAAAAGTATTAGAGTCATGAAAAGTAATCAAAAAGATTACATTCAGCTGTTATTTGCTTGTATAGGTTAGTAGACATATATGATATTCTAACGAGTTAATTCTTTGCAACTAATTTTACTTTTCTTTTGCATTGAGGTCAGCCACATACTTGACGTGTTATTTGTCGTTGTGGGTGTTGCATTTCTAATGTCTTGTGTTTGGTTCTTCTGTTGTTACTCTTTTCGAGTATGTGTAGCCATGCATTCTCCTAAATGCATGTGCGAGATATATTACACCATTGGTGTTAAAGTGTGACCATTTTACCAATAATATTCTATTCTTTTTTTAGGGTTTGATTATTTAAAATGTTTATAATAATTAAAATAAGTTAATTTAAAAATGCTCCACAAAAATCGAGTTTTTTAGTATTATTTTTTAACAAGAGTCAACGAGTTCCTCATAAATTCATTTATTAGAATTTTTTTTTTTGTTTTGTGTTCTTTCTTTCATCAGTTTTTTTCTTTGTTTTTATGAATTTTGGTTTCTCTTATAATATTCACTATTTTCTATTCTCATCTATTGATCTGACTAATATATATTACTTATTTACTTATTTACTTATTATAAATCTTTCGTGTATAAATTTATCACTTGTAATAATAGAATAAATTACAGTTTAAAAGTTAATTTACTAATTTTCTCTCTTCCGGATAATCACTATTTTATAAGTATCTATTCTTGATAAAATATTATAATTTATTTTCAAGATAAACATGAGAAGATCAAAATTAAATCGTTAATAAATACATATAGGATTCGTTTGGTAGTGTTTTTAAAATGTTTTGTTTTTTACTATGAAGAAAAAAATGAGAATTTTTTTAGAATGTTGTTGTGACTGTTTTTGAAATTGTGTTGATTATTTTTTTGAACGATTATTGTGCTATTAGAAAAAAGTTAAAATGTGTTTAGTTATATTTTTAAAAATGTGTATTAAGTTATAACCTTAGAAAATAAAAATAAAAATGTGAAAAAAAAAATTTCAACTATTTTATATTTTATTAATAAAAATCATTCTCATAATTTTTTATTTTTACTATGATTTTTAAAACATTTACTAACCAAATACGAACGTAGTATCTTAATTACACAATTTTATTCAACATCCGTGAGAGCTCACATGTTCGCACGTGAATTTAACTAGTAATAATAATAACTATATTATAAATCGCAGTTTCCTAAAACACTTTTAAAAAAAGTGGTCTTTCTAGTTTGTCATTTTTTGACATTTTTTTTTTTGGGGCCGGAGATGCTCGACACTCAAAGAGTATATCATCTTCTTCCTCCCAAGGTGAGGTTGTTCGGGAGAAAGTGATGGCTTCAAATACCGCATTAGCTCATTCCTGGTAGAGATGCAAGGATGGGCCGGCCCGGCTTGATCTGTTCTTTTTAGGCTCACGTGGGCCGCGGGCCGGGCCGGCTAAGCTCACGAATTTTGTGGACCGGGCCGGGTCGGGCTGTATAAGAATGACCTCGGTCCAATCCACACTACCGGCCAATTTTACATGGGTCAGGTTGGGCTGTGCCAAGGGCCTTGAATGAAATGGCCCACTCAAGGCCCATCTTGGCCTATCATGGGTTTAGATGGGCGAGTACATCTAAGCATGCAATTTTTAATTTTTTTAATTTTTAATTTTTGAATTTTTAAATAAGTTAATAAATATATAAGTTTGAATAGTCAATGAAAATATGAAAATGGATATTTTATTTACGATTACCTCATTAAATAAAAACCTTTCTAAGGAAAAAACATATGGCATGTTTACCTACGCGTAATCGGAATGAGCATGAATCGGAGTGGGCAGGATTCGGAGTAGGTAGGATTCGGAGTGAGGAATCGGAGTCAGAATAAGCTGTTTACTTAGTGATAGGATTCAGAATCGGAGTCATTTCAAATCTCATTCATACGTTTACTTACAATCATAATTAAAATATTTAGTGTAATAATTGGGTAGTAAAATAATAAATATAAATTGTACAACTATTTAAAATATAAAAATAAATTTTAAAAAAATTTAAATAAAATAAATAAAAATAAAAATAGTGTTAAAAAATAAAATATATTATTAATTTATTAAAAAATAAAGTACATATTTATTATATTAAAGTTAACAATAATTATGCTAATATTATAATATTAGATAAATAAAATAATAAATATATGTTGCATTTATTATTTTTTGAATTTTATTTTTAATTGTATATTTATAAGTAAAAAAAGGGTGTAATAGTAAATTGATATTAATATTAGGAATGAGAATCTCAATCCCAAGGGGGGGCAGGGAATGCCAATCTCATTCCTCAATCCCAAATTTGAGTGGGACTCACCAATCTCACTCTCATTCCATGATAAAAAAAGAGTAAGTAAACATGAGATTAACTCTCATTCCCCACTCTCATTTTTCAATCATCGTAAGTAAACATGCCAATAGTGGGACAAAACTTTGGTAAGTAAAAAAGAGTACAATCAAGATAATTATACATAAAATGTTTACAAAATTACTATAAAAAAAATGAAGATATTATGGGCCTAGATGAGCTGAGCTATGCCGGCCTATTATGGGCCTAGACGAGCCGAGCTAGCCCGGCCCAAGCCCAACCTGGCCCATGATATTTCATGGCCCATGTCGGGCCGGCCTATGGGCCGATATATGTTGGCACATCCCAACCCACTAATATTTATGGGCTGGCCCGTGCCTTGAACTGTGACGGACCGTACTGATCCGGCCCGTCATTGTGTCAGAATGGGCCTGGGCCGGCCCACAGACCCCAATCCATTGTTGCATCTCTAATTTCAAGTTCTAATGTGTTGCTCCTATCCTTCAAATGATCCAACCTTCCTTCCTTGGTGGAGGATCTCGCATACCTTGGATATGACGTAAATTTGAGAATGCGTAAATTTGAGACAATGGCTGGATGAAATCCTTCCTTGGTGGAGGATCTCGCATACCTTGGATATGGTAGTCATGGCGACCTCTTCGAAATCTTGAAGGTTGTGACTTTTGATGGAAAGGCGGGCTCTTCTTCTAGTGTTAAATTGTTGACGGTAAGAAATGACCAATTTTAGAGGAACCAAATCTCTAGATTGAGATAAAAAGATAAAAATACCATCAACGAATCAAAATAAAGATGAAAGGAAAGAGGAGACACAAGAAATTAAGATGAAAGGAAATTGTGTCTATATTCCAATTCTACATAATCTTATTATGCATAATACAATCATTCAATATCTCTCTATATTAATGATGCAGATAACATCATTTCATTCTTAATGGGAATGACGTATATTAGTAATGTTTTAATTAAATATTCTGTAACTTTAATTAAATTCATTACAAATATTATTTCGATTATTATCCTTAAATATTATGCTCTCGTATATAACACTTATATATAATATTTAAGGTCACATAAATAATCACGGAATTTTTAATGATATTCATTAAATATTTAATGATACATACACAAAAATAATAAATAAACTATTTTATTAATTAAATAAAAAATATCTTTAATTCTTTATTACATCTCATGCTCTAAGAATACTATTCCTAACAATAACATATTACTAAAATTACTAGTACAAAATTATTTAAAACCAATTACAATATCATCACCATATTACAAACATAATCCTCACCATCACTATCATAACCATCAAACATAATCATATCATCATCATCAAATTAGCCAAAACCAACACCATTATAACCATGTTACTCGCCATCACAACATATAATCACATTTAATTTCCCTACAAAATTACAACCTAATTAACATAATCAATATCAAATTCCTAAACAATCAAAATCCTAATTACAAAACCCTAATTAATAACAACCAAAAATACTTAAATTAAAAAAAAAGTTACTTAACAAATTACACTTACATATTCAACCATTACTAAAACAGGGTGATTAAGAGGAAGGGCAGCAAGAAGAAACAGCGGTGGACAACGATAGTGGGTGGTAGCGGAGAGAGGATTGAGAGGGTGAGGGAGAGGGAGCATGGTAGAGAGAGAAATTGAGAGGGTGAGGGAGGAGGCCAACGTGGGGGGGCTTCAGAGGTTAGCGGCAGGCCGACGTCAGCAGTAAGGGACGAGCACGTACGCTAGGTACGTAGAGAGAGAAAGAGAGAGGAAGGTAGAGAGAGAGAATGAGGGAGGTGTGGTCGTCGGCGGCGTTGGGAAGGGAGTGGCTGTGGTGGTGGTGGTGGTCTGGAGGGACGGAAGGGTGGCATGGAGATGCTAGAGAGAGAGAGCGGAGGTAAAGAGAGAGTTCAGAAAAAAAAAGGGAAGATCTTGTTGGGCAAGAAATCAATAGGTTTTTAGCGACGAGAGATGTAGTCGCTATAACAAGAGTGGTCGCTAAATAATCCTCTCACGACATCGTTTAATTAGGGTCACTAGAAGCACTAGAAAGACGAAATCTTAAAATTTTTAGTGACGATGTAATTTTCAACGACAACAGATGTTGTCGCTAATTCTCTGAAAATTATATATAACCTGCGTTTTTTTTTTTCTAAGAACATTTTTAGAGACACAAATATTATAGTTAAAAAGTTTTTGGTGGTAATTACCCAATTTGTTTCGCCCAAATTATATGTAACCGGCGTTTTTTGCCTGCGGTAATTCTTAGAGAAAATTTTTAACGATGATAAATGTTGTCAGTAAAAAGTTTTGTGTGGCAATTATCTAATTTTTTTCCGCCCAAATGATTTTAATAACTTAGCCGTCACTAAATGCTTTTAGCCAAGACCTTTAATCGCGTACACATAAGTGTCGTCGTCGCTACAAGTTGTGCCAGCTAGCCTGTTTATCAATTGTTCCACGACAACTTTTAACAACGACATGACAACAATTGTCGTCGTTAAAAATTTCATCGCTATTTTCTCTTTTTCTAGTAGTGCCAATTAGTTTACAACATGCACGTGCAAACGTGACTTCTACCGATATATATATATATATATATATCAAACATATCACGTTGATTTATAATCAATCAAAGCAGATAAACGCAAAGAAAAAAGAGGATAACTCAAACCAAATTATTAAAAAAAGAGCAAGAAATTCCAAGTTTCTGCCCATGAGGCGTACGTTTAAGTGGAAATCAAGAGCTTACACTTATCACCACGTGTCAGAACTCCCAAACATGCACCTGAGCCACCTGTCCCGCATCCCTCCAAACTCTCTTTGGTCAATTTAAGCAATTGCGCTTCCACATCTCATCCATGCACACAAAAACTCTCTTTTCTTTCTGATCTCTACTCAATTTCTCTCCTTACCTTTATCCATTTCCCACTTCTCTCTCAGCTACTCTTGCTTAATTTCCTTCTTAATTTGTCTGAAGAGTCAATAAATATACCACTGAATAAGCAGTACTACTTTCAAGCAGATATATACGTATAAAAATTACTTAAATTTCCAAAGATAAGGCATATATATTATTAAGTTGCAACCATGCCGGTTCGTAGATATGCTTTTGGGAGGGCAGATGAAGCCACGCATCCAGACTCCATGAGAGCCACCTTAGCTGAGTTTGTTTCGACTTTCCTTTTTGTCTTTGCTGGGGAAGGCTCAATCCTTGCTCTAGGTACATACATATATATATATATATATATATATATATTTGTGCAGTGCAAATATCCATGTATTTTATGACATGCATGTCATGTGGAATAAATTATTTGCATATTTTGGCATATTCATATTATATGTTTGATATTGTTTTTTTTTTTTTTTTGGTAGATAAAATCTACAAGGAACACGGAACCTCATCAGCGTCGGAGCTGGTAGCGGTGGCGCTTGCGCATGCATTCTCTCTATTCGCGGCGATATCGGCGAGCATCAACATCTCCGGTGGACACGTTAACCCGGCTGTAACCTTTGGCGCCCTAGTTGGCGGTAGGATTTCGGTCATCCGTGCAGTCTACTACTGGGTTGCTCAACTCCTTGGCGCTATTGTGGCATCTCTCTTGTTAAGACTCGTCACGGTTGGCATGGTCAGACAAACTAACCCATATACAAATGGACAATTTTCTATAGGTCTTGAATATTTAGAACCTCTAATTCTTCATTAAATTTGACGTAACCTCCTTGATTTTGGCATACTAGTAATCAAGGAAAATTATGGTATATAAATACAGAATTTTATTAAAAAATAAATAAATATAAGTTTCCGTTGTGTGTGCTAAAAACCTTTAAATATTTTTCCGGGGATCTCATCATATTTGCCTATTATTAGATTTGGGATAATGACAAAAACCTCCCATGTATTAATCACAATGTGAGAATATTCGTCTATATATAAAAAAGAAAAAAAAAATCTGTGATTATTTCACGTGTCTTTCTAATCAAACAAAATCCTCAATGATTAAGGGTGATTAAGGGTCCATTTAGTTCGCTGATTAAAAATTTTTAATTTGTCTAGAGTTTTTAATTTGAGTTTGAGTTGAGACGTGATGAGAGCTTTTTACTGCAGTAAAACTCAGGTCTAAATATATCGTTCAAATCATATAAAATTCACGTCTAATATCAGATTTTATTCAAATAACTTGGATGAAAATTAAGTTGCTCAAATCATGCCTAATATCTTGTCTTCCATTTGAAGTTTCTGATTGTTGTGTTTACTAGAGACCTCTTGGATTCCACGTGGCGCCAGGCGTGAGCGAGGTGCATGGGCTGTTACTTGAGATCATACTGACATTTGGGCTGGTCTACACGGTTTACGCCACCGCAATTGATCCAAAGAGGGGCAACATGGGAACAATAGCACCTCTGGCCATTGCATTGATCTTGGGAGCAAATATTCTGGTAGGTGGGCCATTCGACGGAGCATCCATGAACCCGGCGAGGGCTTTTGGGCCGGCACTGGTGGGCTGGAGATGGAAGAACCATTGGATCTACTGGGTTGGGCCGTTCATAGGAGGTGCTTTGGCAGGTCTCCTATATGAGTACATGGTGATACCAACTGAGCCACCTCACCACACTATTCACCAGCCTTTGGCTCCTGAGGATTATTAGTTGTCAAAAGTTTTTCTTGTTTTTCTGTTTGCGTGGCTATGCTCTGATTGCAATCTCAAACTCCTGTGCTTGTGTTCCTTTTTTTTTTCCTTTTTTTTTTTCGGGGTCTTCTCTTTTCTTTTAATTGGGGTTGGAAACTTTTGAGTTTGTTCATTCCCTGTAGGTAACATCTAGTTCAAGATGTGTGTAAGCATAAAATAAAATGTCAACAAACTTCTCTTTGGCTAGCTAAGTGTTGTGCTGATGAGGCCCCACTTTATAACGCCTAAGCGTTTGTGTTGGACCGTGCAATCCTAGTTTATTAAAGAATCGTTAATTACAAGTACAAGTAAAAAAAAACGCAGCGCTAATTAGCAAAGTGGCTGTAGTTTAGTGGTGAGAATTCCACGTTGTGGCCGTGGAGACCTGGGCTCGAATCCCAGCAGCCACAAATTAATTTTTGTAAACATTTTTTATTTTTTAAGACCAGATTTGGTTTGATAAAATCGAGGCAAAAATCACACAAAATCTTAACTGGGATTTTGTAATATCATACATATATATCACTTTTTTAAATTTAAAATTTTGGATAAAAAAATATAGGGTGTGTTTGGAATAGGGTATGTTTAGAATTGGTTTTAAAATGATTTTATTTTTTTGTATTATTTTAAACTGATTCTATTTTTTTTTATGAAAATAGAAATGAAAACGTTTTATTTTTATTTTTGAATTATTTCTGAAAATGTGTTTGATTTTAGTTTTTAAAAAAAATTAAAACTGCGTTTTGATGGTTTAATTTTTGAAAATATGTAATAATATTTAAAATAATAATATATCTAAAGCCCAAGCAGCCCAACATCTCAATTCCATAGTTTTACGTTAATGATCAAGAAAAGAAAGAAGTAAAAATAAAATATAAACAATAAATAAAAAGGCCACTTCCTGCTCCAAGAGACGCTTCAACTTCACGTCATTCTCTTTTCAACTACACAGTACGCACAGGAAGAGGGGGGGTGGGCAGTCGAAGAAGATGGTGGCGGGCCAGTCGGTGAAGA